GTCAAGTTACGAAACTCGTGCAGAATGCCGAATGCTTAGCACGCTAGGAGCTGATGTGGTGGGTATGTCCACTGTACCAGAGATTATCGTTGCCAGACATGCTGGAATGCGTATTCTTGCATTCAGTTTAGTCACAAACGTGGCTGTGCTCGAGGCAGGCGCCCGTGGTAACGATGCGGAGATCCAGACCATGAACAGGGCGCAACTGACTGAGCATTTGAGCCAAGGTAAGGCAAACCACGAGGAGGTCCTGGAGGCCGGACGGGAGGCAGCCAAGGACATGCAAGCCCTGGTCAAGCAGATATTGTCCGATCTTCACGGCCAATGATGAAGGACTGTGGTAACGGCGGGCCGATGCGGCAACCGCCAATGTGTCCTTTCAGATGTGCATCGCAAGCAGGCATAGTCCCACAAGAGTGAGGCCTGAATCCAGAATAGAATATACCATCCACATGGTCCAGAATAAACAAAGTCCAAGTGTAAGATCGTCCTGGCATGTGGCCAGAAGCGACCAAGCAAGTCTCAAGGCTTGACGACCTTGCCCTTGTTTCGCTTCACCTTCATCGCCTTGTAGTGCGCCTTCTTGCCGCTCTGCTTCGATGTCTGGATATCCTCGTACTTGCGCTTGAAACGGCCGCTGTCCTGTTCCTGGGCGACAATTTCCTCCAGCATGGTCTGCTTGCGCTCCTTGTTCTTCAAACGGCTGCTGTAGAACTCAGTAGCGCCTTCGATGATAGTGCCGACTTGGGAGAATGCAGGAACATCGCCCTTCTTGTTGTCCTTCTTGTAGTGGCGGTGGGGGTCAAGGACGTTCCTCATCTTGAGTAGCTGAAGATCTCGGCGCAGCTCTGGGGTAAGGTCGGTCTTGGGCATGTTGAACCACTGTGCGCCAGCGGTGGCCTTCTTCTCCTGTGGAAAGCTGTTAGTATTGTGACTGACACCTTCAAAAGTAAAACTTGAGTGTGGTAATGCCTCAGTGTAACTATGAACTAATGGAGCCTCAGTGGTGCAGGAAGGCAACCAAGACGGCGCCCGAGTCTGCTCAGCTAAAAGTTTGGGATAATTTTCATCACAGGCATGCGAATGCAAACAGTGTGGCTTGAACGTACCTCTTGCTTCTGCTTCTTGATTTGGAGCGGATCCTCAATCTTCTTGATGCCGTTAGCCAAAGCCTGCTGCTTTTTGTCGACGAGCTTCGAGTGATCTAGGCGCGTGATGTTGCCGTCAGTCTTTTCGTAAGTATCGGCAATATGGCCGGGCTGCAGCTTCGGTAGCCTGAATGGAGCATCCGACTTGTTCGCGGGCTGCGCTGTGGCTGCCTTTGCGCGCATACGGACTGCAGCTTCATTAAGCAGCTCCCGTATCTGCTCATCCGAGAGTTCCTCATCGGTGTCCTCAGCGAGGAGCGGCTGGTGCGTTGGCAACTCCATGTTGGCGTTGTCCGGGAAGAAAGTGTTGGAAAATTTGAGGAACTTTTTGAGAAGCTCCGGCGCGCTAGCCAGTTCGGCCCGTGCGGCAGCGCTAACCGTTCTGGTCGCGATGCGCTCGCAGCGACATTACGTTCGCAGTCTCTCATACCATTTCCAATCCAAGGCAGCTGGATTGACAGTGATCCACCTCTGCTGCTACGCTAGGATTGCCCTGTTCCAAGGCTTCCTTCGTGTCTCTCGTGCACTCGAAATCAGTCCCGATGGTTGGGATCCGCCACGTCAAGCCCGCTGATGAAGCTCCAGAGTCAGCTTCACTCCTGGGCCGTCGCCTTTGTCATATTGTCTTATGACGCGTGCTCGCATATTCTGGCGCGCTCGAGAGAATCGGACGGTGAACAACTCATCACTGGCATAGCCCTGGTGTCTATGGGCCAATGAGAAAGCGTCATCCTGACCAATAGCGCTCACATCCCGCATGCTACTCCAGCTGGGGCGGGATCAAGTTCGTCTCTCTAGCGTGGTGCCTCGATGTGAAGTGTGCTGCCATGGGCCACGATCGGTTCGAGTCTTGCGCCGGATGGAGATTGAATTGTGATAGAGGCGGCAGGAACATTGCGTCGCTACTGTGCTGTCACCTTGTCGGGCCTTGTAGAGAGATGTGGTGCGACGTGCATATCGCGCATATAAGCATGGCCGAAGCGACGATCGCAGCATCTTCTTCTGAAGAGACTCTAGTATGAGAAATACGACGTCAGAACATTGAGCGAATCCTGCACCCGCCCTATACTGCAGCCCGTCTTCGCCCACAGTTCTACATAATTGTCCGCGTCGTGAGTAACGTTGGGGCCCTTGCTTAGCTGTGGTTCGTTGACTCGTTAGAAACCCACCAACCAAGCATCAAACTCCGCGAATATATTCTCGTACTGGAATTTGATTCGTCGAACTAGAGCATAGGTCAGTTGCGCATTTGATACAACCTCACGAGTGTTGGTGCGATTGAGAAATAGAGTAATGCTCATCTACCATGGCAGGCCGCACACAGCAACGCCGCGGGAGCCTAAAGACAGGTACCTGCGCCTTCCCCGCCCACCTCTCCCGACCACTCAGACCGCACCTTCGACGGAATCACGACCTCGCCCTCCTCTCACAACACGCCCACCGCGCGACTCCGAGCAGCCATTGGACGTCCCGCGTCCCTTTCTGCACCGTCCCGCGACCGAGGAACAAGTATTGCCATCCAGACACGCCGCGGACTGACGCAGACCCTGTCCACCGCGTAACACTTGCGCAACCACGCCCAAGCCATGGACCAAGTCAACCTCCAAGGCCACGGCCAGCAGAAAATGCGCCAACAGCCCCAGCAAGCTGCGCCGCGCAAATACGACGGCCAGCAGGGCAACCCCCTCTATGATCCCACCAACGGTGGCCACTATGGTACGTCTTCCCGCCCCAGCTGCATGCCACGCGACGCGGCGCTGGCTGTCGCATTCACCATGACATCCTGTGCTAACACTATACCGCAGGCGCATCTGCAGCAGTACGTTATATTCGCGCATCCGCGCCTATGCCTACTTCCAGCCGCTGATATTTGGTCCAGATTGCCGCACAGAACCACGCGCCTGATCCACAGCTGTTCACCGGTTCGTGGCAGAACGTACGCGCTCGCATCTGTCATAGCCACGATCGCACAAACTAACGCCTACAGGTCAACCAAGGACTCACCGGCAACTACCGCGACATTCTCAATACCTACTGGCAGCAGCAGGTCACAAAGCTCGAGACGGACGAACATGACTACAAGCTGCACCAGCTCCCGCTCGCCCGGATCAAGAAGGTCATGAAGGCCGACCCAGAGGTCAAGATGATCTCAGCGGAAGCTCCCATCCTATTCGCCAAGGGTTGCGACATCTTCATCACCGAGCTCACAATGCGCGCCTGGATCCACGCCGAGGAGAACAAGCGTCGCACTCTCCAGCGCTCCGACATCGCCTCGGCTTTGTCAAAGTCGGACATGTTCGATTTCCTCATCGACATCGTTCCCCGCGAGGAGGCTCATCCCCACAAGAGAAGTGCCGGCCAGAACGCAGCTGTACAGTCATCAGCAGCTGTGGTCCCTCCCGGGGCTATGCCTCAGCCAGTACATGCTCAACATTCCATGCCACCTCCCGACTATGGCCTGCAGGAGCATCTGGGACAGCAGCAGGAGTACCAGCAACCGCCTATGTACCCGGGCCCGATGCAAGGCGATCCCCGCGCCTATGCACAGCAGCCCATGTTCGACCCCAGCGTCTACACCCAATACCAGGTGGGCGCTCAGCAGCCGCAAATGTACGCAGTTGGTCAGCGTGGCCCTGACCCGAATTCCGCCGATCCCCAGGGTTACGGTCGCTATGAGGCTGATCCCGACGATGCCGAAGGCGAGAGGGTCGATGCTGAGAGTTAGAAACGACCACATCATCCTATGTACTGGAAGAAGCTACGTCGATGTTAGCTAACCCACTTTGCATCTTATTATCTTGATGTAGTCTCCAGGCCTGTCGGAGTTTTTCCTGTATTAGAAGATCCTATCAAGGCACAGGGGAGGTGATGGAGGCAGGCAATGAGTATGATCACAGGGTTTACGAGGCGTTGAGGGAGTTTGGGGCTTTCTTAGGTACGGCCGCGGATGCGGGTCGGTTAGCTTGTGGCAGCCTTATGAGCAGATATCCATTGATAGAGTAACAGCTTGCACCACCACCATGTTTGCCCATCAACAGTGCAATGAGGTGTGCTTGGGCCGCTTGAGCGCGGAGCTGGAAACAACGTTGGCAGCATCCCGATCCGCTCCGGCAACTAAATTGGCTGAATATGACGAAGATCAGTCAGGGTCCAAGGTCCACATCGCATCAATTCCTGGAGATCTTCACAGAAAAAGGTGGTACCGAGACAATCCAGGGGTCTGGGAAGCCTATTAGGTGGACTGCTGTCGATGATCAGACAGCCTTGCCAATTATCCCTCATCACTGACAAGAGTGCTCTAGACACTTCGTCAGCGGCCGAAGTACTAGTTACCGTACGCGGGCTAAGAAACATCTTCTCCAGTCTATGGATCCGTACCTGCGTCACAACTAGTGGGCATCCGACCTGCTCCGACTGCTCATGGCACCGAGGCTCGCTGCACATGCTTGGCTAACACAGCGAAAGCATGAGAATGCATCTTTCCTCCAAAGCCCATTATACAAGCCATCTACTTGGTATATGGAACAGCCTGGAGTCCACTACCAAGCCCTCAACAAGCACTCACGAAACTAATATCGTCACAAAGCTAGCCAGACTGTGCTGGGGGCATTAGACGGCCATTAGCTTGAAGCGTTTCCCAGACATACTCCCGCCGGTACCCCGCCAGGTCCGTGCTCCACCCCACCTTCCTGGATCCAACAGAACGGGCGCGTGGTGCAGCTCCTACCCTACTTTACTTCAAGCCACCTCCTTCTGCCTTCTTTTCTCTCACCGACTCTTCAACTCCTCTCTCAATCTCTCTTCTCAGCTACCACTTTTCAACGCGTCTCCCTTTTACAAACTCACATCACAATGGTCAAAGCCGTAGTAGCCGGAGCCGCAGGAGGCATTGGACAGGTACGAGCTCGAGAGTACCTCAGGGACTTGTTCCTCCATGTTGCATCCCAGACTGACTGACATGACCTCGACAGCCCCTCTCTCTGCTCCTCAAGTCCTGCCAACACGTCACTGAGCTCGCCCTCTACGATGTCGTCAACACACCAGGTGTCGCTGCCGATCTGTCGCACATCTCGACCCCAGCAGTATGAGCTAACCCTAGCCCCGCATATGCATGGAGATACTGAAGGTGGATAGGCTGTCACAGGTTTCCTGCCAAAGGAGGACGGTATGCAAAAGGCCCTCACCGGCGCTGATGTCGTTGTCATCCCTGCTGGTATTCCCCGTAAGTCGAACTCATACTGTTATTGTGGCACCACAAGCTAACAAATGCTCAGGCAAGCCGGGTATGACCCGTGATGATCTCTTCAAGATCAACGCCGGTATCGTTCAGGGCCTCATCGAGGGTGTTGCCAAGTACTGCCCCAAGGCGTTCGTGCTTGTCATCTCCAACCCCGTCAACTCGACCGTTCCCATCGCCGCCGAGGTCCTCAAGAAGGCAGGCGTCTTCGACCCCAAGAGGCTCTTCGGTGTCACCACCCTCGATGTCGTCCGCGCTGAGACCTTTGTCGCTGAGATCACCGGCGAGAAGAACCCCGGCAACCTGAACATCCCCGTCATTGGCGGCCACTCCGGCGAGACTATCGTACCTCTGTTCAGCCAGTCAAAGCCGAGCGTAAACATCCCGGCCGACAAGATGGAGGCTCTTATCAAGCGCGTCCAATTCGGTGGTGACGAGGTTGTTCAGGCAAAGGAGGGCGCTGGATCCGCTACTCTTTCCATGGCCTACGCCGGATACCGGTATGTTGTATACTTTCCACCAAAGTGCACTAGCTAATTGCGAACAGCTTCGCCGAGAAGGTCATTAAGGCCTCCAAGGGCGAGAAGGGCATCGTAGAGCCCAGCTACGTCTACCTACCTGGTGTTGAGGGCGGAGATGCTATCTCCAAGGCCACCGGTCTTGAGTTCTTCTCCGTGCCCATCGAGCTTGGCCCCAACGGTGCCGAGAAGGCCATCGACGTTGTCAGCAGCGCCAACGACCAAGAGAAGAAGCTTCTCCAGGCCTGCTACGACGGCCTGAAGGGAAACATCAGCAAGGGCGTCGAGTTCGTCGCCAACCCTCCCGCTAAGTGAGTGTACCCAGATGTCGGTACAGCTCCTACACAAACTCACATGCGCCTGTCTGTAGATAGACTATGAGCCGCCATGATGAGTATGAGAGATGATACTACGAGAACGTGCCTTGGGATATGCATGAATCTATGCTGATCTGAGCTAAAATATCAATGTTCGCACGACACAATACAATGACCCATCACAAGTGACCTGCGTCGTTGCCATCGTCGTTTTCACATGTATTAAGTTGCTTCGAAATATGTTTCGTGTCTATATATACCCGACATAACAATATTTCAGCTGCCGAATTGGTATAGATCTGGCGCGGGAGCAGCTGTAGTGTTGTTCAGAAGTCGAGCTATCGTGGAGTCGTGGACCCTTGCAGAAGAATGATCGGCCGCGGCTCCAGCAGCCCACATCTGGACTCGAACATCAACACCACAACACGCCGCAATAAACACCACACTACACCGACACCTACCACTGTAAATACCCTGTACTGAGCAGCAGACGACGACAAGGTTCCAGCTACCATAGACGCACATCCGCCGGCACACCCTCACACCACATCGGAGCGCGCATCTTTGTCGCGCACAACCTCACAACCACTACCATCGCCTGTAGCACTGTTGAGGACGCAGATACCCTAAACATTTGCCCAATATGGCGCAAGCCAACCCCTCCGCACCGAACGAACCCACCACATCCTACGTCGACCCCACATTCTCGTTAGTGAACACATCATGTCTTGATCTCCTGCTCATAGAGCTCGTACCCATGGCATATCGCATAACAGCCGATCTCGCCGCCCGAGAAGAGGAATGGATACACGGATCATCAGCCGCAAAGCCAAAGCGACTGTCGGGCGCAAGCAATGACGCGTCAAGTACAGCGGCGGGCACAGCAAGAGGGACAGAAGGCGGGCCAGTAGGCGGAGGAGGCACTGCGACGGTCGACGAGGAAGAAGCACGAGAGGCTGTATTCCATCGATTAGAGAATCTCGGGTATAGAGTTGGACTGGGCGTTGTCGAACGGTACGTCTACTCTCGACGCATGGTAGAACCCCAAAGACCATGGCTAACATTTGACACAGATTCTCCCGAGACGCGCCCCGACCCACCACGCCTCTCGACTGCATAAAGTTTCTATGCAAAGACCTATGGACACTCCTCTTCAGAAAGCAGATCGACAACCTCAAGACCAACCACCGCGGCATCTACGTCCTTACAGACAACACGTTCAAACCTCTCGGCCGCATGTCATTCGATACGAAGAAATACGACGCCGCTATGCAAGCAGCGCTGGTAGCACAAACAGGCGATGTAGCGCTCGGACGGGACGCAAATAGCCAGGCAAGGGTCCAGCCCTTTCTATACTTCCCAGCCGGTCTGATAAGAGGATGTCTTGCAAGTTTGGGCATACAAGCAACCGTCACAGCGGAAAGCGCTGCACTACCTGGAGCTACGTTCCAGATCCGGACTGCTGGGGCGAAGACCTGAAGGGAAGACGATGGTACATAACTCGAATGTTAGCGGCATTGCGCGGCGTTTCTGGAATGAATTAAACAGTCACCGTTGCACACATATAGACGATTGAAAGGTCTTTACTCGGAGAGTGAAGACGCAGACTGTGGCAGCGAATCTATACCCACACTGCGCCAAGGACAATAAGCTGGTAATACTAGTACGAATGGCGGGACGATAAAGCATCGTTACTTGCAGCACCCAGACAATTGGTTCATTACATTACTGGCTTCCTCTTTTCAACGATCCAGAGTATGAGAGTTTGATGAGACGGCTCGATAGTAAGATAATATGCTCGCAATCGGTTCGTAAAGTTCCGAGAGCCTATATCAAAAAGTCTAATCCATCTGAGCAACCACGATACATTGTAATCTCCAAATTCGCTTATCGCAACTCCAATTGGAGCCGTCAAGTCTCTCCAAGTCGCTACCCTGGATCATTCGTCGTTCGCGGGGTAGATTGCTAACCGAGCAGGGGGTTTATCAACCGTTGAACAAGCCGTTTTCGGCAGCTGCGTCCCTACCTTGAACATGACATCACGGCCTTAGCAACAAGCCTCTGCCAGCGGCTGGCCTACTGCTAGTACGTCTCTTATCTGAATTTGTAAACGATCAGAGATGAGGTTGAGCTACAACACCAAGTGTAGCCTAAGAACGGGCTAAACGCGTCCAACCCCATCGATCATCCATCAGTACATGTGGAGATTTATTAACCCTAGCTTATCGCACGAGGCGCCCATGTCATACCGTCAGATCGTCGCTGCACTTACCATCCCGTGTAACGACTTTCCCCTATCACACCAATGGACTCTCCGTATCTCGTCGTGCAATCGCCGCGGAAACGCCGCGGGCCCGCGACGGCGAACTACTCCTTGAGGATCACAGTAGTATCTCGACTTACCCTGCTCGGTAATTGGAGTAGGAGTCGTAGTCGGAGTCTTCATAACATATGCTGATATAACCGACTGACCTTCTCGCAAAGGATGGGTCTGAGAACCTTCAACTTTCGACGAGTCTGTTAGATCTCACCATGTCAGAGACAGCGAAAGTACCTCTCCCAGTGGGAGCCGGTTATGGTATGTTTGTCCTCCACTCCTAATCAATCCTTGTAGCTAAATTATCTAGGCGTCGTCGTCGGCATCGGTTTCTTCTTCGCCTTCCTTATGATGGGAATCTCATACCTCCAAAACCGATACACACGCTACTCGACCCAGTCATCCGAGGAGTTCAACACAGCTTCCCGCTCCGTCAAACCCGGTCTAATCGCCTCCGGTATCGTCTCAGCATGGACGTGGGCAGCCACGCTCCTTCAATCCTCCACAGTCGCTTATCAATACGGCGTCGCAGGGCCGTTCTGGTATGCTGCTGGTGCTACGGTGCAGATCCTCATGTTCTCGATCCTGGCATGCAAAGTCAAGCAGAACGCACCGAGATGTCACACATATCTTGAGATTATTAAAGCGCGATATGGCACGTTTGCGCATTTGGTGTTTATGGTGTTTGCGATGGTGACGAATATTCTGGTTGGCAGCCAGCTTTTGCTAGGTGGAAGTGCGGTTGTCACGAGCTTGACAGGTATGCCGGTGTATGCTGCTGTCTTCTTGATTCCAGTTGGTGAGTAAGATACGAGAGATGAGTCGCGGGATACTGACAATAGTAGGTGTTTGTGCGTATGTTATCCTCGGTGGTCTGCGAGCGACTTTCATCTGCGATTACAGCCACACTTTGATCTTGATGATCATCATCCTTTACTTCATGTTCAACGCGTACGCTGTCAGTCCTCTGATCGGCTCGCCCGGTGAGATGTACGAGTTGCTCAAGAAAGCTGGGGCTCAACGCCCAGTTGCAGGAAACGAGGACGGTTCATATGTGACGCTGAAGTCAAACTTTGGGCTGATCTTCGGTGTTATCCAGTTGTGCTCTGGATCTGGAACTGTCTTTCTCGACCAGGCCTACTGGCAGCGCGCAATCGCTTCGAAGCCTTCGACCGCTGTACGCGCATATCTCCTAGGAGGAATCGCTTGGTTCGCTATTCCCTTTGGATTTTCGACAACGCTTGGTCTGGCAGCTGTGGCACTTACAGATAACCCTCGATTCCCGACATATCCCGAGGTGCCTACTTCTGGACAGATCTCGTCTGGTCTGGCTGCCGCCTTCGCTGCGGAGACATTGATGGGCCAAGGAGGTGCCGTTGCGCTACTGGTGGTTCTCTTCATGGCCGTTACGTCCTGTGCATCTGCGGAACTCATCGCTGTCTCCTCGCTCCTTACTTTCGACGTTTACAAGGCTTACATATCGCCCAAGGCAACACCAAAGCAGCTGGTGTTTGTTTCGCACATCATGATTTGCGTCTTTGGGTTGACCATGTCTGTGTTTGCGTGTATTTGGAACGCGGCTTCGATCGACCTGGGATGGTTGTTCCTGTGAGTCCTACTTAACATCATTGCATTGCTACTTACTAATCATTCAAAGTGTCATGGGTCTGCTAATCGGCGGTGCTGTCTTCCCCACGGCATTTTCCATACTTTGGCGAAAGCAAACCAAAGTTGCTGCTATATCAGGTTGTCTGTCTGGCCTTGCCGCAGGTCTTACCGCATGGCTAAGTACAGCCAAGAGCTATTATGGCGAGATCACGGTAGAAACGACCGGCATGTCGTATCCCACACTCGCCGGTAACCTAGCAGCCATTATGACCGGCCTCATCGTAACAACAACAATCACTCTGATCAAACCCGACAACTTCGACTGGGAAATCACCCGCGCCATCAACGCCGTCGAGCTGGATGGCGTAAACGACGACAACACCCCCCGAGAAAGCTCAACCCCCGAACTCTCCGATTCTGGCGAGAAGAAGATTGCAACAGACGCTCCAACGCAACCCGAAGCAATCGCAACGGCAGCAGAACTCCCACCCCATCTCGCCCCCACACAAGAAGAGCCCGACGATCCATCTACACTCCGCCGTGCTTTCAAACTAGCCTGCATCTCCGCCTTCCTCTTGACCTTCATCCTCGACTTCCTTCTTCCGATGCCCATGTTCTTCTCACACTACATCTTTTCCAAAGGCTTCTTTACGGCATGGGTGGTTGTGAGCTTTATTTGGGTGTTTGCCAGTAGCGCAATCAGTTGTTTGTTGCCGATTTGGGAGACGAGGGGCAGTTTTGGGACGCTGTTTAGGAAGATGGGTGCGGATTTTAGGGGGAAGAAATGATGTGAAAGGAAGGGAAGGGGTAGATTGTGATAATGTTAGAGACAAAGTACAGCGGAAGAGACTGCGAGTTGTGTTGAGTCAAAGCATTCGAGGTTAACGCATGTCGTGTTTGGATGTGATGTTCGCGGTCAGTATGACGACTAACTTGAGAAGTGGCTCTCAAAACTTACCTTCACGCCTACCACTTGCTGCTCCGCTAAGTGTGCAGACATGATCTTTACACGAGATATCGCCACTACTCCGCCGTGCATCGAAGTTGTCACCACAACCATCTCTTACAGCTGT